AGCTACATTACAAGGACGCAATAAAAATACTCAAAATATGAGCAATTTTACAGGATGGAAGATCTAGCTGTCTAAATAAATTAAAACAGAGGCCAATACAGTGGCTTAGCCAATCCTCTGCCTGAAGTTCTGGATATAGTTGCCAGTTCAAGTCCCAGCTGCTCCTATACCCGATCCAGCTCCCTGCTTATGACCTGGGAGAACTGCACTGATTGGCTCAGGTAGTTGGGTCCCTGTACCTATGTGGGAGACCTGGAAAAAGCTCCTGACTCCTGGCATTGGATCAGCTCAGCTATGGTCATTGCAGCCGTTTGGGAAGTTAACCAGTGATGGCAGATCTTCCTTTGTCATTCTTGACTTTAAGAACTAATATATATTATAAAATACAATAAAAATATATAAGTTTTTATATAATTTGGAAAATAAGATTTTACAGAGAAGGAGAGCCAGAGAAAGAGAGAGGGAGGGAGGAAAATCTTCCATCTGCTGGTTCGCTCCCCAGATGACCACAGCCAAAGCTGAGCTCTGTCTTGGTCTCCCAGGTGGGTGCAAGGGCCAAGGACTTGGGCCATTTTCCACTGCTGTCCCAGGCCATAAACAGAGCTGGATCTGAAGCGAAGTAACTGAGATCGAATTAGTGCCCATATGGGATGCCAACATTAGCAGGTACAGGATTAGCTTATTATGCCACTGCACTGTCCCTATAACTCTCTCAGGTTAAAGACATAAATCTTTCAAAAAAATAATAAATTTTACAAGGAAAAGAGGTGGGGAGGGAACATACAGATTTTAAACATTACATAGGAAACATATAAATCCATTGGAATGTATGGACCCTAGATGCCCATTGCTTTGAGCAATCACTTACAAAGAAAACAATGAAAAAAATTTTTAATGACTTATGCTAATGCAAAAAAAGTCGTTAATTTTCCTGATTTGAAAATAGTATTCTGGTTGATGCTGTTTTTAATTTTTACCTTTTAGAAAGATGCACTAAAGAAAACTAATCAGCTGGGAAAAAGTTTGATTTAAAACATCAATGTCCCAAGTCTCACAGATATATCCAATCTGGTATAGAACCTGATAGAAGACTCAGACATCACTTTATTAAAACACCCCAGGCAGGGCCCAGCATGATAGCATAGCAGTTAGTCCTCATGTTGAACATGCCACCAGGATCCCATATGGACACTGGTTTTTATCCTAGCAGCCCGCTTCCCATTCAGCTCCCAGCCTGTGGTCTGGGAAAGCAGTTGAGGACAGCACAGCCGAGGATGGCCCAAAGCCTTGGCACCCTGTATCTGCATGAGAGACCAGGAAGAAGCTCCTAGCTCCTGGCTTCAGATTGGCACAGCTCCAGATGTTGCAGCCGCTTGAACCATTGGACGGAAGATCTTCTCTGTCTCTCCCCACTCTTTATATCTGCCTTTCCAATAAAAATAAATAAATCTTTTAAAAAACACCCCAGGCAACTCTCATTGATCAGTCAGATTTCTGTAAGCCACAGACCTGGGACAAGTTATATTAATTAGATGACTAACACAACTAGTTATCAGTTGCAGTACATGCATCCAAAAGAACTCTTTGTCAACACTGGAGTCTGTACTTATTGATATTCACGGAAGCCAGCACTCTGGCAGAATGGCTTAAGCAGCCGCTTGTAATCCTGGCATTCCTGGGTGCCAGTTCAAGTCCCACCTACTCCACTTCTAATCAGGCTCTTTGCAAATGCACCTGGGAAAACAGCAGAAGATGGCCCAAGTGCCTGGGTCCCTGGCCCCTGCTTGGAAAACGCAGATGGAGTCCTGGCTCCTGGATGGACCAGGCCCAGTTGTTGCAGCCATGTCTCTGTAACTCTGGCATTCAAAAAATAAATCTTGAACAAACAAACAAACAAACAAAAACTGTCACCTCTGAATTCGTCCATACTTTTACTGTATTTAATAAATACCACACAATGCCAGCTCCAGAAGCTAAGTTTAGGGGAGGCACTTGGCTTCGTGGTTAGAATGCCAGTTAAGATGTTGAGTGCGCTAGGTTCTGCTCTAGACTCTGCTTCCTGACAATGCAGACCCTGGGGGGCAGCAGCAAATGCTCAGGTGATCTGGCTCCTGCCTCCCACAAGAAAAACCTGGATTGAATTCCCAGTTTCCAGCTTCTGCCCTGGCTGAGCCCTAGTCATTGATGGCATTTGGAGAATGAAGCTTGTAGGGAGGGAGGTAGGGAGGGAGGGAGTGTGTGTGTGTGTTTCAGCTCAGAAAAGCTACCACACTGAGCTTTCGTACATTAAGTTACCTACCCAGCAAGGCTATTTAGGCACAGAGTGATATGTTCCAAACTGCTTCTAAGATCAGGGAAAAGACAGCTAACACACCATATAATATTTCAGCTATTACGAACATTACTAGATTTGAATAGGTATAATTCTTCAACACTGAGATATGGAGTGTAAAAAACAATCCTTGCACAGAATATAATGGCTTTTTAGACCAGGATATGTAAGGAAAGCTTGATGACCTTGGCTAAGTGGAACCTAGGTTGTCTGTGGCTATGTGTGGGAGGAAATAAACTTCACGTGTGAAAGCAGAAACTGGAAGAGGAGGAAAGTACACTGGGGACCACAGAGAACATACTATCAGACAGGTGGGACACTGAGAATGCAGTTTGCATTACCAGAATAGAACTGTCAGCTGATCAACTCAAAGTTGTAAAAAGATTGATGTTCTACAAATATCTGCTAACTAATAAATGATAACACTAGGTAAATATTGTGTTCAAATTAGATCTAGCTTGGCTTGTAATTCTACTTTATTAAACCTTTCCTGGGCTTTATTTTCCAGCTCATTAATCTCAATCTGTAGTGTCTCATCTCCTAATTTTTTATTCCCCTATGTTTGCTTAATAAGCTAAATACACACAATATTAACAAGACAATACTTTCGCAGACCCTGAGATACAGGTATATTTTGTCTGGAAAAAAATCAATTTTGAACATTTGATATGGTGGATAGATTGTGTATAAAAACTATAAATTATTTCAAAATAATTTTTCTCCTTCTAAAACTTAGCTCTTCAAACAAACAAAAATACAATATGAGGGAAAGTGTATCTTACACAGAACTCCTATTCAGAGTTGAGCTCTTCTTTGAAATATTTTTGTTCTTTGTATATTTCAACCACCTAAAATCATTTCTGACAATTCATAAACCAAGCCATCTTACGGATGAGGAAAAGGTTACTATTTAGTGTCCTTGAGAAGGTGGTCTGTAATAATAGTATTAATCTGAAAGTTCTTGAAGGGAAAAAGAATTGCAGTGTAATAAGTCCCATCTGGAATCTTCTCCACTACACAGAAGTCATTCACTGTTGAAATACCACATTCTACCATTTAACACGACTATGTTTATATATAACTTGGAGTTCTGATTGTTCCTGTTACTTTTTCACAGTGTTTTTTCTGAAAAAGGACCAAGGGCTGTATCTGGATTTGGCATATGGTTTACAGGATACAAAGAAAAGAGAAAACTATTTCGAATGAACTATTTAAAAAGGTAATGCGACACGGTGGAATAAGCGATGCAAATCAAGAAACCTGTTTCTAGTTCCAGTTCTGCCTGTAACGAACTATCTGCCTTTCTGAGTCACTTGTTTCTGAAACTTTAAAAAGGGTTTGATTCAGTAATTTTCATCTTAAACGTGGCTTTCCAAAACACACTTAAGCAACATTTTAACAATAGTCCAATTATGGGCCCAGCGCCGACAGCGTAGCAGTTAAAGTCCTTGCCTTGAACAAGAAGCCAGGATCCCATATGGGCACTGGTTCTAATCCAGGCAACCCTACTTCCCATCCAGCTCCCTGCTTGTGGCCTTGAAAAGCAGTCGAGGACAGCCCAAAGCCTTGGGACCCTGCACCTGTATGTGAGACCTGGAGGAAGGTCCTGGCTCTTGGCTTCAGATTGAATCAGCCCAGCAGCCCAGCAACTGCGGTCATTTGGGAGGGAACCATCAGACGGAAGATCTTCCTCTCTGTCTCTCCTCCTTTCTTTATATCTGCCTTTCCAATAAAAATAAACCTTAAAAAAAAAAAAAACTCCAGTTACGAGTACATCTTCGTACCATATGGAGTTGGTCCTTCACTTCTGCTCCAATTTGACCAGACATGCTGACATATTAGGTTGCACGTTCAAGGTGTACTTTGGGAAAAAAAAAATAAACAGACAAGGGACAGACCTTCTTCTGTGATGCGGTACTGCAAGGCAGGGAGTTCAGTAGTGAAGTAGTGATGGCATATGGATGCTGAGGACCTAGCTAAGGCATTCCTAAGTGAAGTGCCCTGAAGAAGAAACCTCGGTGGTGATGGAAGTAAGAAAGGGCTGTAAGCAGCCTGGAGGGAAGTCTTGAACTGAGGCTGTCGGATAACCACAATCTCCACTTTTCCAAACCCTTATTCCCCCAGTGGACACCAAACCAGCTCCAGTTCCGGGTTCCCAACCAATCGCGGCAGGCCACAACAGAGGGTTCGGCCAACCCGGGCACCGTTTCAGGGCTCCAGAGTGAGATTCGCACAATCCCAGCACCTGTCGGGTCGACACGCTTCCCTGGCCCGGCGGGGTGGCACAGAACACTGGGGCCCTCCTGGGTCCTCGTCGAATCGGGCCACCATCAGGTCCTCAAGCCCGGTGACTGCACCCGCAGCCCGCTCCCCGGCTCCTCGGCTCCTCGGCGGGGACATCCCACCCTCCAGCCGCCCTTGTAGCCCTCTCCCAGGACTCACTCTCCTGTTTAGGGGGTCCCAAGCCGGACCATGGCTTCTCAGGCCGCAGGGACCCAGGCCTGGGAAGCAGACAGACGGCTCGGAGTGAAGGCGGTGGGGGGAGGGAAGGCTCGTCGCTGTCGGAGAAAGCGACAGGAAAGCAAAGATGAGCCCAAAGAGTAGGCGGGTCGCCCTTCGGCCAGGGCAGGAGGCCGTCGGTGCGTCTGTCATTCCCTCACACACTCACCAGGAGCAGCACGGAGCATCTGAGGTCGGGTAAGGATAGGAAGACGGCGGGATTCATGGTAGCGCCGGGGTCTGCGGCAGGGACAGGCGTAGGCGGCGGGGACTGGGCTGGGCTGAGCTGAGTTAGGAGAGGGCTGGGCTCCAGGAGCCGGCGGCAGCGGAGGAGTCTCCCAGCAGCAGCAGCCGCACCTCGTCCTCCCGACCCGGAGCTCCAGCGGCGAACACCCGGGACAACTTCCAGAGGGGCCTCGCAACCCTCACTTCCGGGTCCTGCCCTCGTCGGAGCACGTCGGGAAATGTAGTCCTTCACTTCTCGCACCGGGGTACGTCAGTGGGCGTCTAGAACTGCCTTTCCCATTAGGCTCTCCGCCCAGGTCCACCGAGTCCTCTGCGCGCGGCGCCCTGTGGGATACCAAGGCCAGAGGGCGGTGTACTGCGGCGCTCCCGAGGATACGAACTTCAATTCCCACAAGGCTATGCGGCCGAGCGCCTCGGGCGGCCTTCAGAGGGTCTCTGCTGCCTTCGGCCGCAGTGGGGTCTCTCCCCGCCGGTCGTGGTAGTGTCCTGGCCTGGCTGGAGGGGCGGCCCCGTGGGGGTCGTGCCTCCTGGAGTCGCCCCCGGGACGTCAGTCCTGGAGGAGGCGAGGGTGAGTAGGAAGGGTGCTTGAGAGGGAGGCTCGGATCGATGGGTCCTGACCCCTACCGCTGACTCGAGGCCCTCCTGGCCGGAGCGGTGGACCGAGCCTCCTTTGTTGGCATCCTCGCCTGCTGCCTCTTCTTTGCTCTGCGCTACTTCCTGAGTTACTGAGAGCCGCCTCTCAGAGCCTCAGCGAGTCGGTGACTTCTGCCGCAGGGTCCCGGAGGGCTTGTGTGAGGAGGGAGAAGCACTGTGTCCCCTGGAAAGCCCGAGGCAACAATGATTGCTACTCCTTATTGATCGCTCCTACTGGGTAGTGACACATTGCTTTGGCTGCGCAGTCGCCCCAGGGTGCTCTCCAGCATCTTCAGTGCACACCCAGCCGGGTCCACGACCCCACAAGACAGCCGCAGGAGAAACTCTTGAAGGGCTTCCTGCTCCCTCTGCTTCAGCTTTCCTGCTGCCTGCGGGGACCTTTCCCCCTCCTTCTCTTTCTGGAACGTCCTCTCAAATGTCACCATCCCTGACATTTTTCATCTCTGTCATCTGTCACACCCAACCTCTTAGTCCTCTTCGGAAGCACTCTGCCTCTGAGTGTGACTACAGCGCCACTACTTTTGTACAGTTAGAATTGTTTGAGGCTTTATTGCAGTGGCTTGCTTTGTTAACTAATTAATGATGATAGCTTTGTGTTTTTGTAGCACTTTGGTGAAGTGGTTCTGACTGTCATCTATAAAATGATTTATAGAAAATTAGTGTTGCAAATATATATTACATGTGCTTTGAAAAAAAAAAAATCCCAGAGAATGATTGTCCCAGGGTGATAAAATTTGATAGTGGAAGAACCAATATTCTTATTCGGGTCTCCTGGTTGTAAGTTAGTGCTCTTATCCTTATAGTAACCATCTACCTCTCTGACAAAGCCCATCTGTAGTTGAAATGAGAAATATAAAAACGCTGTGGATTCATGAGCTCAGCGTTCTAACAAGTTAAACTTTGTTCATGCTCACCCTTTGGACTTAGCACACAACCTATGATCTTGCATTCCACAAATATTTATTGAGCACCAACAGTATACCTGTGGTTGAACTAAGTGCTAAGAATTGTGATGTGAAATGAGTGTATATATTACCAACATGAGTTATTAGTGACTTTTTCAAAATGATTTTTCTATGATTGTAATGTGCCCAATTCTGATCTCTTACAATCTAAAATGAAAGATCTCAGGGTTCAGAACAATGTACAGCACATAGTTGGCACTCAACTTGTTGAATAAATGAACATATACACCCTTTTATTTTGTGTATTTTATGTAAATCCAGAAAGCTAATGTAATCTAAGGACATACTGCTTCTTATTAACAACTGGGCCCGTGTATAATTCTTTCCCATTGTCTCTGTCTCCACCTGTTTTGTAGCTTCCTTCAAATGATTTTAATATAATCCTACATGTAACTCGAAGAACTCAGACATGATAGAATGGTCTCGCCACACCCTGAGCCATCTTATTTTCTGTCAACATATTAACTCAAATTATCAGCCAACTGAAGACATGAGGAGCTGACCTTTACCATAATTAGGAACATATAATCTTTGGAAGGTGAAATTTGAACCAGTATTTCTTGTCAGTGGCAGCACATGTACCTATCAGCCATGATGAACTTGTCTTACAAAAATTTCAGATGCCCAGAAGTCTCGGGGGTTGGAGAGACGTTGTTTGTCTTTTGCATGACATCATCAAACTTGTCTACCTTTGTGGCAGCAGTTAACTGGAGCTGGTTTGAAACTACTTCCTTTAGATAAGTGTGCATGCTCCAGTTGGCCATGATCCTCAAGACCCCCTACTTGCCTTACACGTGTTATTCCATGGCTCTTGTAGACATCCTGCGGGAGCTTTCATAGAGCACCATGGGTTTAGAAAGGCTGCTGAGGATCACTGATACAACTACTATTCCTTTCTATTGGGTGCTTGAATTCTTCCTCTGTTGCTGATATGATTTCGACTGCTCAGACACCCTTGAAATAGGGATACCATCATCTTATGCAACTGGTACATTTCTAGAAAGTTGCAGTAAGCCACGTGGAACTACTAGTGATAATGAAATTTTGTTTTATGAAATATAGTTAATCCTTATGATAAGGTATTCCAAGAAGGATTGAAAGACTTAGCTCTTAAGCAAAGCATATTTCTTTGATGGCCCAAGGATAGAACAAATAAAAAGTCACTTTATGGGTTTGATAGAAGAACTAGGTAACTTTGATTTAGTATTTAAATCTAGTTAGTTCTGACTTAATAGTTACATTTGTATGTTGCTGTTTTTCCATGTGACTTACCTGTCATCTTCGCTCATAATATTAGTTGTAATGTTTAATGTTTTGTGGAATCATACTAGTAGGATTAACCATTAAGTCACTGTGTGCTCTATGCATACTCTTAGAGCCTATCTCCATACCCCACCACCTTAGGAAACCATTGAAAAGGGTCTTAGAAGTGCAGATTGCCTATTTGATAGATGATCAGCTCGCACAGCGATCATCCTCTGGTCCTGTTATACCAATTCTGGAGGTAGGATTGTAGGATTTTTTTTTTTAATCCTGGGCAAGTATTAACACTAGCCCTATTTATCACATACCCACACGAAACTACTGAGGCAGATCTCAGAAAGGCTTCCTCTGTGTGTGCTCATGGTTTGAATCATTGTTTCAGGTTGTCCCAATTGTTGAGAGGACTATGAGCAAGTTGGAGAACTCGCTGTTCACTGGTTCCTCCTTAGCATCCCAGATCCATGCTGCTGCAGTTAATGGAGATAAGAGTGCTCTGCAGAGGCTCGTCACAGGTAAGCCTGCCCCTGCAAAATGCACACCTTAGAAAATGCGTTGTCCGAAGCAAGCTTATTATTTTCACTTTTAGGTCACAAGGCACATACATCATGAGAATATATTATTTATATTTCATGCTAAGATTTGAACAAAAACAGAAATTAAGTCCTAAAACACAAAATTGTAGATTAGGCTTAAGTGAACAGCACTTAAGATATTTCTACATATTTGGTACTGAAACTGGATATACAAAGCTACCTCAAAATATTTTTGAAAGGATAGTTTATTTTTGTGTGAAAGAAAAACTCTAGAAATGATTTAGAAAAGTTTGTGAGAAATGCATATTATTTTTTTTTTAAAGTATGGGTTTCAAAGCTTTTTGCCCCAAAGTAAACATCTTTTAGTTCAATTTCCAGTGAACTATTAAAAAGTATGTATTTGTTTGCACTTGAAAGGCAAAGAGACACACAGAGACAGCTTTTCAATCTGCTGGTTTGCCCTTCACAGGCCCACTAAAGCCAAACTGAAGCCAGGAGCTCAAAACCCAGCTCTGGTCTTCCATGTGGGTATAAGGAATCCAATGACTTGAACCATCACGCCCTTCTTGTGTGTGTATTAGCAGGAAGCTAGAGTTGGAAGAAGAGCTGGCACTCAAATGCAGGCATTCTGAAATAGATTCTGGTATCCCAACTCACATTTTAACTGGGAACCCACCAGCTTGCTTCACCATGAACTTTTGAAGTATCCTTATATAAACTAAGGTGTAGAGAAATTAATTCATTTTAATAATAATCGAACTCTAGATTCAAACAGTAGATAGTGATCTTTTAGTATTTAATAGATACTTGAAATATCAATAATTACTTTTTAATTATTTAATATGAATCCAATCTTCTTACCATTTATATACACAAATTATATATATATATATATATATGCATATATATATATATATAAGTCCAAAGGAGAAGTTCAAGAGAGAGAACAAAATGAATAGGGGAGAGAGAGTGTTCAACAGCAAAATGACTAAGAATTTTCCAGAACAAATGCCACATGTTCAAAGGGCCCAAAAGGATTAAATAAAATAAATATTTTATATTGTGATCTTTATATGAACAAATTTCTGATGATATCATGATTGACAATTTGGTCTGCAAAGTCAAGTCTGAACTACTTGTTGAACTTTCATACTTGTTGTTTTAGAATTTATTTTCATCTTTGATTTCTAGTTCTTCCAGGAACTTCTGCCCTTGGGGTAACCTAGACATTAATTCTCTTCATTGATGTACTGTGAATTTTGTCTTTGTCCTCTGCCCTTTTACTTTCTTCTCTGTTATACAATCTCATATTCATTTTCAACAAGAAAGTTATTTTACCCAATACATTCAGTGTAAATATTTTTTCTCTGTCAATGATATTAATTCCCCCTTCATGTTAGCTACCGATGTGCATTTCATTCATTTAAATCTGTATTTGCACAAATTTTATATTTACATCAAAGACTTTAGTTTCTAGCTCGCTTAATAGCAAGAAACCTCTGTTTTTCAGCCTTACTAAAACCTCTACTCCACTATCTTCTCTAGAAAAGCATCTGTTTCCTTCTGTCTTTACTTTCCTCCCAATTCAGGTCTATTTCCATAAAAATTATTTTTCTCTTGACATGAGCCTTGTGGCAAAACAGTTGAAGCCACTGCCTTGGCATCCACATTCCATAGCAGGGACCTAACTGCTTGATGTCCAGTCCAACTCCCTGCTCGTGCGTCAGGCAGACAACAGATCATAATCCAAGTGCTTGAGTTCCTGCTACTCCTGTTGGAGAATTAAATGGAAGTCCTAGCTCCTGGCTTCAACCTGGCGCAACCCAGAATAACACAGGCATCTGAAGACCATTTTTCTGTCTCTCTGTTATTGTGCCTCTCAAATAAATAAACAAATAAATAAATGTTTTTGTTTTTTCTTTTTAACAAAGTCATTCTCTGGGGGCCTGTTTTTGGCATAAGGGGTTAGCCTGCTGGCTGTAACAACAATCACGTATGGGCACCATTTCAGTCCTTGCTGCTCAACTTCTGACCCAGTTCACTACTAATGCTCTTAGGAAAATAGCAGATGATGACCCAAGTACTTGTAGGAGACCCAGATGAAGCTCTGACCCCTGACTGTAGCCTTTCCGTTGTGGCCATTTGGGGAGGGAACCCCAGGGTGGAAAATTCTCTCTCTCCTTTTCTCTCTGTAGCTCTTTTAAATCAATGAATAAATTTTTTTAAAGCTTTATTTATTTTTATTGCAAAGTCAGATATACAGAGAGGAGGAGAGACAGAGAGGAAGATTTTCTGTCCATTGATTCACTTCCCAAGTGACCACAAAGGCTGATGCTGCACCTATCCAAAACCAGGAGCCAGGAATTTCTTTCTGGGTCTCCGTGTGGGTGCAGGTCCCAAGGCTTTTGGCCATCCTCGGCTGCTTTCCCAGGCCACAAGCAGGGAACTGGATGGGAAGTGGAGCTGCCAGGATTAGATCCGGCACCCGTATGGGATTCTGGCACATTCAAGGTGAGAACTTTAGCTGCTAGGCCACCGTGCTAGGCCATAAATAAAATTTTTTAAAGTCCTTTCAAAAACAAAATCCTTCTCTTGCAAGTTTTCTCTTTTTTTCTTATGTTCTGTTAAACCTGGCAATTGCATTCCCAACTCTGGAAGGATTTAACCTACTCCTGGTTATCTGTGAACTGTTAAACACAGTGGAAGATGATAGCATCCCAGTTTCATGATAACCCTTTGGAAGCAGGCACTCAGCACTTTCTGCTCATTTTACCTTTTTTGTCCGTGCTGCACAGTTGGTAAATTCCCCCTCATCTGAAACCACTAACTGCCCATGCCCTCTCCCTGTGGTCTCAGGTAATGCTCTGTGCTTCCTGGGGAACATGAAAACCTTGAAGTAGACAACCTCAGCTGTAATCAGGATACCAACAAATCTACCTACATCTGCATTCTGTGCTTTTCCTGATAGAGCAAACACATCCCTTTATAGCAAAAGTCAGCTTTTCCACAAGTGCTCTAAAGCAAGGGTGAGATACATGGAAGGCCAGTGAGATCATTCAGTCTGGCTCTGCCAAAGGAACTGCAAGCAGGACTCAAAATTCAGTTAAAAAATGTCTATAGATAGACAAATCATTAGATTGACTATTTTTATGGCCTATAAATGGTGTTATGTTATAAATATCCGAATGGCCCTCAAGAACAAAAAGATTCCTTAGTCCCGCTCCCCTCTTCCTCCCCTTACACACACTGTCTATCTGCTAAAAAACCCTTCTCCATGGCTTCCTTTCTTTTTTCAATTTTTAACCTCTTTCACTATTCTAAATTCTTCCCATCAACAGTTAAACATGTTCTGTTGGCTTCATTATTTGCAAATTCCTTCTGCATTCTTCATCACTTTCTGGGTTTTGCCATATTTCATCTTGTCCTCACAGCAGATTCATATATTGATAATATTAATGGACTATAGCCATGACTTAAATAAGTTGGAAGTATATTTGATTCTCATAATAGCACAAATGTCTGTGAGCAGTCTGTGGAAGGTAGACATCTCTGCTTGACAGAATCAGCCAGTGATGCTGCCAGGGCTTGACTGCCAGTCTAAACATGTGACTTCCATCTCTGGCTCAAAGGAAGACACATTTGTTGTAGTCATAGGGAAAGAAAATCATTGGGAGATGTGGCTGAGCTTTAACGACCAACAGTAACAACTGGACTGGATGTGGGCAAGGCAACTGTTCCTACCAGGACAGGAGGTAGATAAGTCAGTCTGGGCTGAGGACCCACCAGTATGCGCGAGATTTGCCTCTAGGAGGAGACTCAATAGAGGAGTTTGGGGAACTCCTTTGTGAGAGTGCAGTCCCTATAGGTGAGCATAAGAACCAAGACAGGGAGCAGCCCAGGCCAGGTTACAGTACTTGCCGGGACTGGAGGTGGGCCTGGCTGGACAGGTGGTGGCGCCCACTGGCATGAGTATGGGCTGGAGGGTAAAGTTGATTGGGTTGAATTAGGCTTCGGTGCTCAGTGATGTGTACAAGATCTGAATGGGATGTTGAACAGACTAGACCATTCCACTGCACATGCTGGCAGGCCCAGGAACCAGATCTGGGGCTTGTTCAGTGGAGATATTGGGGGGTCACTCTTACTGGACTACAGCTTCCACTGGTGTGCACAAGGGCCAAGTGTGTTGTGGGCAGTGTTGGGCTGGGCTGCAGCACCCATTGGTTTGATGAAGAATGGCAGAACTAATTGATCAAGTACCCCAGTGAAGCTTGACAACAAATTTCTGGGTGAATGGAGACTAGGGTGGACTATGTCAGCCAGTTGACCTTGGAAGGATTTCCTTATCCTTGGAGCGGCAATATAAACAAAATCTCAGAACTATCAAGACCACTTGAGCAGAACCCTTGGAACATACTCCACATTGGGGACCCTAGGATGACATTGGGTGGGCCACTCTCCATCCCTGGGTACTGAGGCAGTTGGGAGGCTGGGTGTCGTTTCTCCCATTGTAAGCCCCTCTCCCCCAGATACAGGAAGAGGAGAAAGAAAATGTATAAACAATGGTTTTACCTACTTTCCCCTCATCCTCAACACTTTCTATCATGATCAACTATAAACATCATCAAAAATAAAATTTTTTTTAATGAAAAAAAAATTAAAACAGAAGAAAATCATTGGGAAAAAAAGCGGAGAATACAATTTATCATTAAAGAGGTAGATGATATTTATACACAGAGCAACACCTAGGACAAAAAAAGACTTTAAAAAGTCTCTCTGTATGGTGTCATGTCCAATTAAAATTCACGATGTCAGTTTCTTAGGGGAAAAGAAAAAATGAGACACTGAATGGGGGCCAATTACCACATTCTGTCACCAAAACCAAGATTTTTTAGGCAGGGAGTGAGAAAAACCTTGTTTAAAATGCTAAACCGGCCTTTTTCTCAGTGCTTTTGCCAGACTTTTGTTCTCCTCATTCTTTG